CCTCACATTTGAGTGTGTGCTTTGTTTTCTGTTGCCACACTCTGACTGACAGTCCATCTGTTGCGTGAAGATAAAGTGATTTTCTTCTCCCCACAGAGTCTGACGGAGAGAGTGATTTATCTTTCGAAGATGAGGGAGACATTCAGGTATCATCGTTAGTGACATGCTGTAAATGACTGGTTAATTAATTTCACTTTCTAATGCGCATTAAAGACAGTCAACATGGGAGGAAACACTTAATATCTTACTCAAGCTGATGCACTGTCACCTTGTGAAAGTGAAAAGACTGGTTGAAAAAAAACATCTTTTAATCAGATTATTACATTGAAGTAAAAAGTAAGAAAATAATGAAAAAATTAAAAAATAAAAAAACCTGATTACATTAAAAAGTAAATAACTGCAATTTTGGTGCCTCAGCCACCTGATAATAGCATCAAATGTGAATGAAATAAAATCAAATACATGAATTTGTTGTTACCTGATTGATCTCTTTTCTCCTGTTTTGCTTGTTTGTTGCGTGTTGATGCTGATTGATAGTGTGAGATCTTGGAGCTGCAGAGGGATGAAGCCAATCAGAGACTGGCTGAATTGGAGGAAGGTGAGAATCTTTTATTAATTTTCATTAACTGCTTGTCCCGATTCAGCATTGTAAGAGGGGATGGAGATTATCCCAGTATGCATCACAGAGCAGCTACACTCAAAGTCACAACTATAGGCAATATAAAGGAAGGAAGGATAAAACTAATTTAAGACAGAAAAAGGTTTTAATAATCTTACTGAATTTAAGTTTCAGGTTTATTCTGTGCAATTTATTTCACATCTTTCTCCTCAGGTCTCCTCTCCTCTCCTGTGAGATGATTAACAACTCTCTTTCCTTCATTTTCAGTCTCCAATCAGCTCCTGAAAGAGATTAATGTATTGGAAATCCAGTTCCAAATTGAACGTTCCTGCAGGGAGAATGCTGAGGCACTGGCTGTCAAAGTATGTGTTTTTACCACTCCTTTCCTTCTTCTTTCCTTATGTCCTTTTGTGGCCCTTTCCCTTATGTCCTTTCCTTTCCTTTTCTTTCCTTTCCTTATGTAATTTCCTTTCCTTTCCTTTTCTTCCCTCTCCTGACATGTCAACTTAGGAAGCAGTGTATGTATCAAATGATCTCCCACCTCACCTAGGTGACCAAAGAGAACAAAGTCCTGAAGAGGACGAGCCAGATGCTGATGCCGCTCATCCCCGAGCTGCCTGAAAACTTGTCTGCTGTGACCTTTGACCCAGAGAGTGACCAGGTGGTTAACGGTGATGTGATTGATCTTGGTGAGGACAGCAATGAGGAGACGCTGCTGCTGGAGAGTCAAGCCAAGATCGCAGGTGAATTCACAAGACTGAAAATCAGACGTCTAACTGGAGCCAAGAACTACCAATATTAATCAGGAGTGTACATTATAAGTAATATATATGAAGCAATGATAACCTTAAAAGAAAAGCCACGGAGTCATGTATATAGTGCTGAGGTCATATAATAAAATTCTTTAATGCTCAATATTTTTTGGGCAATAAAATGCTCCAGAATCACACATCAATTAGATC